GAGAGAGAGAGAGAGAGAGAGAGAGAGAGAGACCATGTGCAAGCACACTTGTGTAAGCGGGGGAAGGGCAGAGAGAGAAGAAGAAAATCTTACACAGGCTCCACGCTCAATGTGGAGCCTGGCACAGGGCTCAATCCCACAACCCTGGGATCATGACCTGAGCCAAAATCAAGAGTCAGACACAACCAACTAGGCTACCCAGGCACTCCAGGTTCTTGTTTTATTATCATCAACAGTGTTACTGAGGTGTAACTTACACATCATAAAATTCATTCATTTTAAGTGATTTTTAGTATATTTACAGAGTTGTGCAACCATCACCATAATCTAATTTTGGAACATTTCTATCAGTCTAAAAACCTCATGCTCATTTACAGTCACTCTCCATTTCCCAACCCTAGCCCTAGCTCAACAACAATCTACTTCCTGTCTCTATAGATCTGCCTTTCTGAACATTTCATATAAATACAAGCATACAATATGTGCTCTTCTGTGATTGTCCTCTTTCACTGAGTATAATAGTTTTGAAGTTCATCCATTTAGTAACATGTATCAGCACTTCTTTCCTTTTAACCACCAAATTCTCCATGTATAGATATACCACATTTTGCTTATCCATCTACCAGCTGATGAATATTCGGGTTATTTCCACTTCTTGGCTATTGTGAATTCATGTATAAGTCTTTATGGACATATGTTTTCATTTCTCCTGGGTAGGAGCTGAATTGCTTAATGTTTCACATTTTGAGAAACTGCCAAACTATTTTCCAAAGTGACTGGACCATTTCACATTCTCTGCAGCAACATCTGAGGGTTCTCATTAGTTTTAATCAGATAGTTAAACACATTATGTAACTATATAGAGAGATCTCTTACTTTAATTCCACAACTAGTTAATTGAGATGATTCCCTCAGTCACACACACAAGAGTAAGGACCACCACTCTGCTTATAACATCTCTTCACTCCGACTATACTACTATCCAACAAAAGTAGTCCAAAATTCCATTTTTACGGCTCCAACTCCAATGAAATATCTCCTAACTTTTAATTTTAACAATTTATTTTCTGTCTGTGCTTGTTATTTCTGAATGTATCAGCAGTTTGTGGGGGGAGAGAGAGAGAGAGCATGTGCACGTGCAAGTGGGGTAGGGGCAGAGACAGAGAGGGGAGAGAGAATCTGAAGCAGACGCCATGCTGTCAACACAGAGCCCGATGTGGGACTTGAACTCGTGAACTGTGAGATCATGACCTCAGCCGAAATCCAGAGTCGGATGCTTAACCAACTAAGCCACCCAGGTGCCCCAGCAGTTTGTTCTTTAAGACCAGAAGAAGTTGAGGAAAGTTGCCACCTCACCCAGACACAGAGGTGGGAGATGCCTGATGTCACACTACAAGAGCCCGGTGTGTGCCTCAGCACTGCTCCAAGAACTTGAAAGGATGGTGGGAGTGGAAACACAGCCAGGCGTCTTTAATGAAAAAACAGTAAAGCCATGGAATGCCAGACTTACTTGTAAATGAGTGCTTTTCCTGCTTCTTGAGATTCCAGGGGATGAGGAGTTCTTGCCACGGGTTTCAAATCAAAATTACCATTGTTAAAATTCACTTTCACTTTTAACCTTTAACAAGATAACATGTGTGAGGATGTTTTGAAGGATATTTTGAAAACGAAACAGTGATCTTAAAGAGTTTTGTTTATATACTCCTTAAAAGAAGTTTGAAACACCACACACCACCTTGCACATTTTAAAACTGACACACCTAGGGGCACCTGGGTGGTTCAGTCAGTTAAGCGTCCGACTTTGGCTCAGGTCACGATCTCACAGTTCGTGAGTTCGAGCCCCGCGTCGGGCTCTGTGCTGACAGCTCAGAGCCTGGAGCCTGCTTCCCATTCTGTGTCTCCCTCTCTCTCTGCCCCTTCCCTGCTCATGCTGTGTCTCTGTCTCAAAAATAAATAAACATTGAAAAAAAATTAAAAAAAAAAACTGACACACCTAAAATTTTTCACTGTAAGTTTAAGTAACTTTGTTTCTCATTTCTCTTGTAACTCTTGTTTCAAACAGATTTGGGATAAGATGAGTGTTGTTGGTCTTACTATGAAACTTTAAGGATATAATTTGATAAAATGGATTTTAACCAACATATTAATAAAGCACACCAAATCTGAAAGTAATCACATAAAACTGTTAGATGAGCATTATAGCCAATGTACTTTGAAAATTTTATCAGTTCCACAAAACATTCCAGTTATATTCATAAGAAGTATCACTAAATTATAGGACTTTATTCCAAATTCAGAGCAACCCAACACAGACCAAGTACCCTGATTCTAAGGCAAGTCTTTAAATCTATCGATCATCAATCAACTAATTAAAGTAAAATAAAATATACATGACAGGGAAATACAGAAAGACCTATGGGTTGAATTTCCTTGCTTCATCATTAAAGGAATTCTCTTTAAAGACAGTATTTTTAGGGGTGCCTGGGTGGCTCAGTTGGTTAAGTGGCCGACTTCAGCTCAGGTCATGATCTTGTGGTCTGTGAGTTTGAGCCCCGCGTCGGGCTCTGTGCTGACAGCTCAGAGCCTGGAGCCTGTTTCAGATTCTGTGTCTCCCTCTCTCTGACCCTCCCCCGTTCATGCTCTGTCTCTCTCTGTCTCAAAAATAAACGTAAAAAAAAAAAAAAATTTTTTTAATAAAAAAACAAATAAAAAAAAAAACAAATAAAGACAGTATTTTTATTTATCCCTTTATTTGGCACCCTGGAATTTTTTACACCCAGATTGAAAGGTATGACTTTCTTTTAAAAAGTGAGTTAAGATGTGATGTGAATGCAGGCTTGTTCCCAGGCAGATCAATTTTTAAAAAGAGTACATATAGACTTCAGAATCAGGAAAATTGAGTTCCTTAAAACTATCTGTGAATACCTTAGAAAGTCTATAGAAACCCACGCTGTCTATGCCAGTTTGAAATTCACAGCTTAGAGGGAATCCACTCATTCTTGGAGGCATCACTATCTCACAAGAGATATTAAAGGGGAAAAAAAAGTCTTCTTAACACACACACACACACACAGTAGAGGCCAGAAATGTGGGAAGCTGGGTCCATCTATAGTGGTGGGCAGCAAGAGCAAGTAGAACACACCTGAAGGCAGATGCCAATAACAGAGTTAACTTGATACTAAGCCATGTACCAGCTATAATGTGAGGACACCAAACTTGAGACTGTCACACTAAGCATAGACCTTTTAAGGGAGCTTAAGTGCGCCCAGGTTAATGGTATCCTAGCTACAAGCAGAGGCAGAAACAGAAACAAATCCTCCCCTAGACTGGGCCAATAGGATACCCAAAGTTCAAATCATGTCATTAAATCATAAATAAAATTCACTAAGCAAAGCATACAAGAAAATAAACCATTATAATTGAGAATTAGCAGAGAAAACAATAGATTTAGCTTCTTCAAGGAATACAGAATTTGGAATTATCAAATGTAGAATGTAGTATATACCAATGTATTTTAAAGAAAGAAATGATCCAATCACCAATATAAGAAAACAGTTAAGAGCCTATCAGAAATGAAGAAGCATATTGGAAGGAGGAAATTTAAGAAATTTAAATGCTAATATTGAGCACACTGAGGAAAGAATTAGTAAACTGGAAAACATATTCAAAACATATTCCATTCTACGAAGATGGAAAATATGAAATACAAATTAAAAGATATTAAGATATAAAAAGGTCTAATATATGTCTGAATCCAGAAGCAAAAGGGAAAGAATAAAGAAAAAACAATAAAGAGATCATTGCTGTGAATTTTCCTGACTGATGAAAAACATGAATACAGAGATCCAGAAAGCACAATATATACCAGTAGGTTAAATAAAAAGAAATCCGTACCTAGACACCTGTAGCAAGAGTGCCAAACACTAAAGACAAAGATTTTATAAGCAGCCACGGAGAAAAGACAAAAACCAGAATGACAGCAGACTTCTCATAAACAATAGAAACCAAAAGCAAGAGAATCATATCTTTAGAGCATTCAGATAAAATAAGTTATCAACCTACAATGCAAACTGTCTTTAAAGAATGAGAATAAAATAAAGATATTTAAGGTACACTAAATTTGAATATTAAAGGCTGAATTTCAGGGGGAAAATGTCTCCACTATTACAGTATAAAATGGAAGACAGGGAGGCCCTGGGCGTCTCAAGTCAGTTAAGCAACCGACTTTTGGTTTCAGCTCAGGTGAGGAAATCATGGTTTGTGAGTTCATGTCCGCGTTGGGCTCTGCACTGACAGTGTGGAGCCTGCTTGGGATTCTCTCTCTCCCTTTCTCTCTACCCTTCCCCTGCTCGCTCTGTTTCTCTCTCAAAATAAATAAACTTAATAAATAAATAAATAAATAAAATGGAAGACAGAATGGCAACCCTCCTCTATGGAGGAGTCCCTCCTCTATAAAGCGGTCTCCCATACTGATTTTCCTACAGATATGTCTGCTAAGTGTTGGATTCACCCAAACTAGACATCATTTTTTTAAATTAATATAATTATATAAGACAAACATTAAATGATTTCAGTCCCAAGAAACTGATGCTCCTCTTTGTTATTTTATTTCTATCCAAGATCCCACTGTTATATTTTCTACTAGGCTGGGTTAAGTGCCCTTCCTCTGTGCTTCCATAATAACCTGTGCATATCAGTATTATCACATTTGCCACATTGTAATGGAATTATCTATTTTATTTTTTTTTTTTTTTTTAATTTTTTTTTTCAACATTTACTTATTTTTGGGACAGAGAGAGACAGAGCATGAACAGGGGAGGGGCAGAGAGAGAGGGAGACACAGAATCGGAAACAGGCTCCAGGCTCTGAGCCATCAGCCCAGAGCCTGACGCGGGGCTCGAACTCCCGGACCGCGAGATCGTGACCTGGCTGAAGTCGGACGCTTAACCGACTGCGCCACCCAGGCGCCCCTGGAATTACCTATTTTAAATGGCTATCTTCTCTAAGTTATTTAAAGCAATTACAACTCAACGCATGATACTTTGATTGAATTAATTTGATATAGGAGTTGAACTGTGTCCCCCAGAAAAGATATATTCAAATCCTAAACTCTCATCTCTGTGAACGTGACCTTGTTTGGAAATAAGGTCTTTGTAGATGTAATCAAGTTAAAATGAGGTCATGATGGATTAGGGTGGGCTCTAATCCAGTGTCAGATGTTATAAGAGGGAAACTGGATGCAGACACAGAGGGAAGACCATATGACCATGGAGGCAGACATTAGAGTGTTAAGGCTGTATGTAAACCAACTAAAAAAACTGCCAGCACCCACCAGCAGCTAGAAAGGAGGCAAGGAAGGAGCCTCCCCTAGAGCCTTCATAGAGGGAATGGCCCTGCTGACATCTTGATTTTATACTTCCAGCCTCCAGAACTATGAGAGAATAAATTTCTGTTGTTTTAAGCCACACAGTGTGTAGCACTTTGTTACAAATGCCTTAGGAGACTAATATATAAGATAAATCTCAAATCTGAATTCCTCTCTGACTCTTTTCCCTGGCCTTCCAAATCTGGCCAACAAAATCTAAAATTCCTTTGTTTCATCACATCAGTCTCTTCATTTCAATTCCTTTTGCCACATCCTGAGGCCTTTATCAACAGAAGATAGATCCTTATAAAACCTCAACAATCTCCAGCTTCTTGTCCTATCTTATCTCCAATCTATCATATACATCATATGCCAGATTAAAGTTTCCAGGATTTCATGCTGTCCTCAATGACTCCCCAATCCCTACATGATAAAATCCCAATTTTAAGCTGGTATTGAAGGCTTTTCACAAAATGGCTCCAACCTAGTTTCACAGACTTAACCAGTGACTGGTCATATACTCATTCACTTCACAGATAAGCAGACAGTTGCAAACTGTGTGATAAGTGAAAAAATACATGTATGTCAACTGGTGGGACAAAAGAGGGCCTGGACCAGACTGCCTAGTATAAGGAGGTGAACTGGAAATATTTCACAGAGGAAGTGTTAAAGTAGCATTTAACAAAGTCTTGGGAACAGTGTTTTCCTCAAAAAAAGAATGGGCACAGAGCAGAACACCAGAGAAAGGCACCATCAGTGGCAAAGAAGTATAGGAAGAGATCAAGAGCTTCAGGTAAACAAGCGCAATGCCCTACCCCCTTCCTTGGATCCTTCCCTACTATAAAGCAAAAGCCTTAAGCTGCTGGAAAGAGGCAAGTAATTCTTCCCAACCCCCTCCAGAACAACAAGCAAAGATATACTGCTTCTGGGAGAGAAAAGCAAAACCTGCCTGCCTATGGAGGAGGAATAAGAGGGGTACACCCAGGAGCAAGGCAAGGATCCACTGCTACTAGGATAAGGACAGAAGCAAAAACCCTCTGTCCCAGGAGGAGGGACAAGAAACAGCTTTCAGTCCAGAATCCTATACCTATACCAAGCAGACATCTGCTACTATTGGCAGAGGGGCAGGAAACTATTACCCAAGAACAACCACACAAGGTAGTTTGACCGCCACAGAGAGAAGGGGAAGGAACTCTAAGAACATGCTGCTCCTGAGGCCCAACCACATAGAACATGCCTAAAACTGAGGCAGGACAAGAAAACAGAAAAATTCCTCTGCTGCCACTATGAGCCTAGCAATAAGCAACAAGCAATAGCAGTGTACTTCTGGGGATGAAGCAAGAACACAGAGAGACTCACCCCACACCTCTCACACACACCTCTGTGATGCAGTCTTGCAGAGATAGCCAAAAAATGAAGAGGGAGCAGGAACACTTCAGAAAACCCTTCTGGCCTACCAGCCCCCACCCTAAGCACAAGGTAACAGCAGCTCACCACTAGAGGTATTTGAAGCCTAAGGTGCACTAAAGGTAACAATAGCAATAATACCTAAACCCAGCTCAACTTCTGACTAGATAAGCCCAATTCTCCACACTAATGGTTGACAGAAGAAAAAGCATATCCGTTTTCTAGACATACTCCGTCTATACTGGTCTACCTCTAATGCCTGGCATTCAATCAAAAATAACAAGACATGCAAAGAAAAAAAAAAAAAGGCAAGACACAATAACCTCAAATATCGAGCATTTAATAAAACATTACAAGATATTGGGGAGAGGGGCAAGACAAAATAACCCATTGTCAAGAGTGAAAGCAATCAACAGAACCAGATTGAGAAATGACCCCTCCCCCCTACCATGGGAACTATCAGATAAATAATTTAAAATAACTATGATTAATATGTTAAAGCATCTAGTGGAAAGGTGAACATATATAAACAGATGGCAAATTTCAGGAGAAATTAAAACTATTTTTTAAAAATCAAACGGAAATGTTAAAAATAAAAATCACAACAGAGACCAAGGATTCCTCTGATGAGCTGATCAACAAATGAGGCACAGCTGAGGAAAGGCTCAGTGACCTTAAAGATAGGGTAGTAGGGAAAAAAAAAAAAAAAGATGGGTTAGTAGACATTGTCCAACTGAAATACAATTAGGAAAAAAAATTTTTTTAACACAAAAAACAAACTAAGAACTATGGAGCTATGAGACAATATCAAATGGTGTAACATACATATAAGGCGTCTTAGAAGGAAAAGAAAAACAAAGAATAGGGCATAAGAAATATTTCAAGTGATAATGGCCTCAAATTTTCCAAATAATGAAAGATGTCAAACCACAGATACAAGAATCTCAAAGAACCCTAAGTAGGATAAATAGAAAGGAAAATAAAGACGACATAACCTAGCTAATGAAAAGCAAAGAGAAAATCTTGAAAGTGCCCAAGAGAAAAGAAACATCACAAAGAGGAACAAAGAATTATGGATTCCTCATTGAAAAATGAAATTAAAAAAAAAATCATAATTATGACAAAATTTATACCACTGTCTCCAGTTTTCAAATTCCAAGAGGTTCAATAATTTCTATTAACCATTACCTGCTCCTTTTACAAAATTCACTTTCTATGTAGGTTGTAGGCAGCATAAGCCATTTATTTGGAGTCATAAAGTGCCTTGAATTAGAAATTCTTGGAAACCTGGAATGCAGTTTGGCCTTCTCAACCTCTTTAAATTCTTTCATTGTACATATTTTGCCTGTAGGAAGATTAGTAACCTAAATCAGCACACTTAAATGCAACTCCCATTGCTTCTGGGTTATGAAATCACGTAACAATTAGGCACTAAGTACCAGTCTCACACTGAAGAAGAGTTCTTTTATCATCATCTTTGTCATATTGTGCCTTTTTCAAAGGATCACGAAATGGTGGAATGGTAACCTACAAGAAAAGCAAGTGTTTAAGGGCAGGATTGCGTCTTTTTCAGTGTATCCTAATCATCTGTGTATGACACCTAAGCCTGAAAAAATCAAGAATATAGTATCTACAAACTACTTCAGTTTATCCATTTACAAAGAGATGGAAGCACTCCAATACATCTCTTTGCAAGGCCCACCAGTCATGGTTACCTCTTGTGTTAATGGTTTTTTCAGATTATTGTGGATATTCTTCTTAGACACTATACCCAAATTCAATAAGTTGTAGTTTCTTAAAAGTTATGACATGGAATGTGAAACTATGTCAATAAATTTTTCAACTTCAGTTACATAAAAACCCATTGGTCTATCTTGAGCTTTGAATGGATCTTTTATCCATGTCATGGATTAGTTGGAAGAAATTATATCACTGAGTTACGTGAGATCTTCCAAATTGTCAATACATTTCATTATGCTATAATCACAGTCATTAACATCATTATCAATCTCATCAGAAAATTCTAAGAGTAGCAGAAAGCTGTAACACTCATGATGCTGAATATTTTTCCAAAATTCAGTTTTTTGCTTGAAAGCTCACATTTTATCATTGGCAACAAACACTGTCAGTTATTTTTCTTGAAGTGACTTCATTACTTTTCCAAAAAATGTCTGCCAAATATCCAACACTTAATAACTACAATTCATAAATCATTCTTTAAAAAAAAATGTACCATGAAAAAAAAAATCAACCAGTATAGCTGACAATTCAAGCAATCATGCTGCATTTCAGTAGGCAGAAGTACTGTTTCCATATTTACCATATTTAAAAAGATGTGTACTTAGATGTGAGCAAGATTTAATAAAATTAATAATTTTTAGTGTTTGGTCAAGGACATCCTTAAGTGAAATTGCAATTTTTTAAATGTGAGTACATGGCAATGAAGAATAATGACTGGTATGATTTGGTGACACTGATTTAAGTTGTTCTAAGTACCAACAGCTTTACCCACCATTGCTTTTGCACAATCAGAGTCAATGTCAACACTATAAAAAAGGTAAATAATATTTGGCACTATTATGAAACAATTGGCCTAATAGGTCCCTTAAAAGGGTTTCAGGGCTCTCAAAGATCTATGTACCTCACTCTGAGAACTGCTGTTATAACCTCAAAGTGTTCCACTTAAGAGGTCACCTATCACGTTCATTTATAAAAGCAGAATGGCTGGGAATGCAAGCTGGTGCAGCCACTCTGGAAAACAGTATTGAGTTTCCTCAAAAAACGAAAAACAGAACTACCCTACTACCCAGCAATTGCACTACTAGGCATTTATCCAAGGGATACAGGTGTGCTGTTTCGAAGGGACACATGCACCTCCATGTTTATAGCAGCACTATCAACAATAGCCAAAGTATGGAAAGAGCCCAAATGTCCATCAATGGATGGATAAAGATGTGGTGTGTATACACACAGACACAGACACACACACACAGACACACACACACACAATGGAGTATTACTCAGCAATCGAAAAGAATGAAATCTTGCTATTTGCAACTATGTGATGGAACTGGAGGGTATTATGCTAAGTGAAATTAATCAGAGAAAGACAAAAATCATACGACTTCACTCATATGAGGACTTTAAGAGACAAAACAGATGAACATAAGGGAAGGGAAACAAAAATAATATAAAAACAGGGAGGGGGACAAAACAGAAGAGACTCATAAACATGGACAACAGAGGGTTACGGGAGGGGTTGTGGGAGGGGGGATGGGCTAAATGGGTAAGGGGCACTAAGGAATCTACTCCTGAAATCACTGTTGCACTATATACTAATTTGGATGTAAATTAAAAAAAATTT